CTCTCTCTCTCTCTCTCTCTCTCTTCCTTTCTTCTTTTTCCGCCCTAATCTCTCTCCATCTCTATTCGACCAATCTTCTTTTACAAGGAGGGAGAGAGGGAGAGAAGGAGGAAGGCAAGAGCGCTATGGCGAGCACAGCCTAGGCATGTGAGTCATCGTGAGAGACAAGATCTCGAGTAAGGAGGCGGCCTTGATGCCGCAAAACAGTTGGTAATATCGGTACGGATCCATGGATCGCTAACTTCGATCGTCGTTACGCCGCGGTCGATCCTCGCCGCCCCACTCGCTTCAATCGTTCGAATCACGGAGGATTTACCCGATTGACGAGCTATGCAACGTTGGAAAAAGGAGAAGTTGGATGATTATTGGAATAATTGAAGCAAATTTGTCGATCAGATATTAAAACGTTTTTTTAAATAAATTGAGTTACTTTTCGAAAAATTTTGTTTGACATTTTTATAATTAATTAGTTCGAGTTAATTAATTTACTCTCTGCTATACAGTTCGATGTGACCAGGTTTCGTAATCCAATTACGAAAATTGATACGACTACTAAAAGTTGTTAGCTAGATTAAATGAAAACCTCTTTTATCTTTCTAACCCTATCTCAATATACCAGAAAGTGTAGTGATCGCAATTAACGTATTGGAAGCTCGTTAAGATCGAAAATGAAATTATAATAAAAGTTTCGAATTTATAAATCTTCCTAAAAAAAAGAGAGGTTCTCCAGAGAATCGAAAACACACCTCACTGCAATAAAATACCTTAACTTTTCTTAACTCCATTCAATATACCAGAATACTAACATATTCGAAGCTGGTTAAGATTAAAACGAAATTATAAAACTTTCTTACCTAAAAAAAAAAAAAAAAATAAGGAAAGTCTCAAATTTTTTCAAAAAAATTGTACATCGAGCATATCGATTTATAGAACGAAACGAGTTAGTTAGAATTGCATAAATTCTACAACGAACGTAGTACGAACTAATGAAAACCCCTCCTTCGATCGAGGAGGGGCGGCCACCAAGGAAGCCAGGCTAACAACCACTTCGACTTTTTCGGATTGCTGGCCATTGCCAACATTTTGCACGCGTTTCGCCTCATTTGTCGCGGAGGGTTTATAATGGCTAAGGCCACGAGAGGGCCTTAAAGCGAGCTCCAATTATCGGCTCCTGACGAACCTTTCATCCACCCCTCCTGGCTCCCTCCTTTTTATTCGATTTAACGGTTTACGCTCGAAGGTGAAGCTCGCCGTGTATCGCCATTAATCGCGGGCGGAATGCGAGAAGTCATGGTCCGGGAAAAGGGAGGCGGCGGTTTCTTAAAATACACTCGGATAATTGAAGGGCACCGATCTGGGCAAGAAACCAGAAGAGCCGCCTTTTTTCCCCTCCTCTCTCCCTCTCTCTCTCTCTCTCTGGGATAGGAGGAAAAACGATAGAGATTTTCTAAAATTTTAACAAACGGTTGTAAAGAGAAAGGGAATATTATATCGCAAATAAATAAATTCTTTGTTATCTTTGATATTAGATATCGGGGATATTTTAATCTTTTGGAGATATTAATTGATTCGTTTTGTTTTTTCTTTTTTTTTTTACGAAGCGAAAAGGAAGTTAAACAGTGCGATTAATCTCAAAAAGATGTATTCGAATAATCCTTGAAACGACCTTGAAAGAACTTAAGAACTTATCAGAGATACGAGAAATCTTATCTACGCTATCGTTATGAACAAAGAATCATTTTCTTCTATCTTGTTCAAGGTGCAAAAATATCTCGCTGTTTTGTTTCTTGCTTGATCCAATTCCGATAAACTTTAACAAATTAATCCAATCCAATTAACGAGTCTTTATTTCTTAAATGTAGAAAAGAAAAAAGGAAAGAATCCGATCACTTTGCCACCTCGATTCGAGATATTTTAATTCTTCATCCAAGGCGCCACGACTCAAGGCTGAATCGAAAAGTCGAAACTTTTTTGCCACGCGCGTGGCTCCTCGAATGATCTCTTGATTCGAACGCAGTTTTCTTCCCTCCTTCCATTGCCGTTTCTCGGTGGCCACGAGGACTCGCGAGGGCCGTTTCTTGCAAGGGATATTTAATAGCCAGGAAACGTGTAACTTGGCACAGCGTAATGAGCACGACCGCCTTTTTTGCCCCTTGATGCGAGCTTTAACGTAACAAACCCGCCTTTCTTCCTTCCAAGATTCTGGGTCCTGGAAGAGGTTCCAATACTCTTCAAGGATCATGCTGTGTCCTCCTCTCTCAGATTCTATTATCAGAGAACGTTCCCAATAAAGAGAAAGAGACGGATTTGATATTTTATCAAAGGGGAGGATTATTTAGGAAATCTTCTTTTTATTTTAATTTATAATTTAAGCGCCTATTTTAAGATTTATTATTGTAAATTGCGGGATTTGTAGCAATTTTGCTCGAGGTGCAAGGACGTAGATAAACTCGTTTTGGTTTATTAATATTTATCAAGTTGGTATTTAGTATTTATTTCTCGCACGTACACGATATCTTGAACGTGCGCTCTGTATTTTAATTCGTGTTAGCATTTATGATGACGACGTCTAAGTCTCTCGTGCATGCCAGCCTTAATGCCTTTCAGTGTGACTTTTAGCTACCAGGTATGTAAACCGCAGTATGAATTTATGTGCCAGTAATTTTTACGCTCGTTAAAGAGCGCTTCGTCGCGCTGCCTTTCCAACGTCTACGCGGCTCTGTCCGCGTAACGCGCCTCTCCAAACATAACCTATACCTCGGACAACGTTATACTCTTAAGCGCTCTACGTCTACAATGTTTTTTCTTTTCTTTTTTTATCCAACCCAAATTGCAAATAGAAATTATCTCTAACACTAACTCTCGATAATAAAACTGAACCGTTTTAAACGAGAAGGTGTTTGGAAAATAATAGCGTGACGTTGATAAAGATTAAGCAAGAACTTTTATTTTATCTTCTTTAAAGAAAGAAACGAGATTATTAAGCCTGGTCAGGTTCTTATTAGTTTATTTGCAATGATTACTGTATAATATTGTAGCGTTGTATCTTTCCGCGAAATTATCGAATATCAGAAAGTTTTTAAAAATTTTGTAAAACCTATATTCAATAATATTCTGATGAAAAATATCGTTTATCAAAATGTTAAGAAGATAAGAGAAGAACGTTGTAAATAAATTTCAAAAAGATCGATAATCACTACTAATAAAACTCTAATTCCATGATTCTGCGAATACAAAGGATAAAATTTTAAACTCTTGACCAATTCCAATAACGAATTCCTTTAAACTGGAAAAATGGTAAAGAAAATTCCAACAACGATTCCCCAAACAACATAACGAACTTGTTTGCTCTCAAGCAGCATAAAAAATAACATCCAAAGTAACAAATGTGAAAAAATTTCAAGGCTCCGCGAACTCCTCTTCCAATAATCCCCCTCCCCCCCAATAACAGATCCAATGACTTGCCCTCGAGCGAAAACGGTAAGAGAGATTTAAACGTGGAAATTAAAAATGGTGAATTAAAAAATTTCCCAAGGTCCCCTCCCCCGATCCAACAATAAACTCAATGACTTGCCACGCAACAGGAAAGGAGAAATAGTGTCGAACTAGTACCAAAAATGGTGCAAAAAAATCGCTGGCCGAAAGAGCGCGAGTCATCGAGCGCGTCCTTGGTCGCGCGGCGTTGACCGCGTGACTAATTTTAAGAATTGCCCGCGATTCCATCGGCCGTGCTGGAGGACACGGTTCTGCACGCGGTCCTTACGACTCCCCTAGATGGCAGTATTTTTTCACAGGAATCGCTCGGCCACGAGCGGATCACCGTGGCAAGGATACGCTTCCTATTAGCGCCACCGTGACCGACCCGTATAAGGATTAAGGCGTATCTCAACGACGCGACCGGTCGTCGTTTCCGAAGGCCACTTCCGAAATACAACACTCGATGGAGGGGGAGGATCGAAATGAAAATTATTCCAATTTTCGATTTTTCATCCTCTTTTCTTCGAGTTTAAACGCACGAACTTGTTGACAAATTTTGGTTAAGGTTGATTGAATCGCGTCTCTACTCGATCAATTTTCTTTCTTTCGTCGATTTCTTTGACGAGCGTTGTGATACAATTTCGGGATTTCAAGGATTTGGTATTACTATTTTGTCAGATTTGTAATTTTAAATATATCGTGGAGGTGAATCGTGTTATCGTCCTTGATATTGAGTTAAGTAATAATTTCTTCTTTTGTAATTGATTTGGTTTCTCTGGAAGTTTGTTTTTTAATCGTATCACGAATGTGAACGTGTTTAAAAATTTGTAGGAAAGTAGCGATTGTATATGGTGAAATTTCACTTGGGCCAAGGTTAAAGATTTAAAACACTATATAATAGGTGTAATTTTCGAAGTAAAATTGTCGAATAGGTAATAAAACGAATAACAAAAATCTCGAGTGAAACAAATAAGAACAAGATTTCGTTATCGTTTGACAGTGATCGCTCGATAAAAATCGCTGTTCCTACTCATGAACCTCATGAAATTTTTATGAGATCTCTTTATTCTTGCTCGAGTTGGCATATCTGTAATGGAAACTCGAGCTGGAATCATTAAAGAGTGTACGATTATCCTTACATAGGTGTCCCTAGAACTGTCCACTTGCGTTGTCGCCTCAGTAACGGCCACTTTGTTGGGTGTTTGCACCCACAGATCTTGTAACTACACTATTTATATCGAACTGCGACTGTTTTTTTTTCCCCCCTTCGCTATATTAGGAATGACGAACAGCGTATCGTATCCCCGACTAATTCAGAATCGCCATTTCGGGTGACATGCAAAATGACAAGAAGATTTATCAAATCATCCGGTTGTAGATCAGCAAGCGCTGTTGAAAAACGCCTTGTATATCTAATCCTCTGACAGGAAAAAATCGAAACACTGTTTCTCTTTTTTGCTGGATTTTGAATCGAATCGATACAAGAATTAACTAAAAATAATCTATTCCAATTAAAATTTCCTAACTACTTATATATATAAAACTCATACAACAGTATTCAATTTTAAAAATAAAAGAAATAAGAAAATTTATCAAAATCAATTTCTAAATTTGATCTCAACAATAATCATCTTGTATCAATTTGCTCGCTCGAATTTAAATATATCTTCGCATTTTCAAAAATAACTACGAACCTTCCTTTAAAACGTTATGAAATCTTCGTGAAATCTAATCACATCTCGCATCTCGTCTCTAGATCCAATCGATGAACTCAATCCTGCCCTCTGTGAACGAGGCAGAGAAGATAGGGTTCCCCTGACTGACGAGACGCGTCAAGGAATTCTAAAGGCCAGCTCGTTCCGGGTTGAAAATAATCGAACACGGTCGCACGAACTTTCGACCTGCGGCGTATGCGCGTCCGCCAAAAGGGGAACGACAAAAAGGAGTGCGAACTCGGCATACCGGCTGGCCGCCGCCATGGAGCGTGCCGGAAGAAACTCTGTTTAGTATAGCAACCTCCACGATATAACTTTGAACTTCTAAATTAAAAGTAGCGGCAACAATTGACATTCTCAATTGCATTTTACCTTCTTCGATCGAGGCTAAGTTTTATGACTCTATTTTTTATCATCACTTCACTAGAGAGTATTATGTATCTTATGTGTTATTGTGTTGGATGTTACGGCTTGATAATTTTTCAAATAAAATCCTCTTGATTTTGACGATGTACGAGATTCGTGGAATAATGATTATAACAAGGATCGTAGGAATATAGATTCTTTGGAAGATGAAAATTTCAAAATTACGATGGTAATTTGAAAATTGCATTCCTTCCTCATTCTTCACGCTCTTGTCTCATTAAATATACATTCAATTCTTATACGATATTCATACTTGATTAACATTGTGCAATTGATTTTTTCAATTGCGTCGTTCTTCGGATGCAAATAAACCAATTTACATGTCGTTTTGCCAAAGCGCGAAAACTAATTGATCGGATTAATATAAATATTTGAATATCGTTTCAAAACTTCAAACGAAATTAAATCTTTTCGTATCTTCGATTTTAATAGATCATTGTATTGTACAGATCGTGTTGAGAAAGTATCAAAAAGTGAGGTTAATAATACATCAAAGAGAGAGAATCGACTCGTCCACTTCGTTTAAATTAATTCTCATCGAGGTGATCTCTCGCGAAACAACGTAACCGTCCCCGCATTTCTCACGGCGTGTTGTTCCACATCTGTGTGTGTCCGTGTCGCATTCATCATTCCACGCGTATCCCCCTTAACCACGAGGCAATAAGTTACTGAAAGCAGATCAAAAAGAAGCGTGGTGACGCACGCGAGTTGCTACGCACCGCCACACGATCCGCCTAATTAACATACTCCCGAACGAAGCAGACCGATTTAATATCTTCTTTTAGGTTAACACGAAGCCACGGTGGGGACCGGTCTGCGCCGTTCCCACTTGTCGCAGCAGCGCCGCGCCACGGCGAATAACAAATCAACGAGTAAAGTAAAAACGTCAATGGCTGTCTGCCACGGTACAACGAGTTAAATAGACTGGGCCTGTTTACGAACGTGTTTTTCCATGTATCGTTGACGTATTATTGGTGTCCACGTTTTGCACGTTTCCTTCTACCTTTAAGTAAGAGAAATAAGGCTGTTTCGATGCACATTTTCAGAGATTTCGTTATTCAATTTTTGATGACGGATTTAAGAAAACATAGAATAGATCTTTTTTTTAATTTATACAAGATGAAACGGTGATATAAAAGGTTGGTTGTTATTTACAGCTCGTATCGATAAAATATAGCCTATCGTTAAAACACTTGTGTATACGCGACTCTTTGTATCCAATGCAAGACAGCTCTTTAAATCACGGAGCAATAATAATAATAATAATAATACGTTGTTGTATTTTATTCATACTTACCAAATGTTACACGTAATAATAAAGTACATGCAACGAACTTCTCTCGCCGAAGAGGTGCACTTTTAACCCTTCAATCTTATCAACGTCGAGGCATCAATTATTCCAAGTACCTCAATTTTGTTTATTAATACATCGAGGAGGTTAGACGGTGAATAATTCCCAATTTCACGTTGTAAACCGGCCGGACAAATTGGACCCCCCTCAGGAGGGATTCGAGGATCACGAGCGTCCCTTTCAACATGGCGGCTCGATTTCACGAACCGTAAAATCGCGCTAACGAGCGAGTTATCGTAAAATTTTTATTACGACGTTCGACGAGAAGGGAACGACGAAGGCGCGATCCTTTTTGCATCTCATCGTCTAAAAGGTACGGGACGCCGTCTCGAGACCGATCGTTCCGGAGATTTATGCTCTCGCGCGAAGGATACCCAACGCGAAATTTTGTAACGCAGCGTTTACGATTGAAAAATTGCAACGTAAAACGAACAAATTGACCCATTATTTCGACTCGATAAAAACGAATACGTTGCGCTCGAGATTCGTCGCTGGAAAAATTTTCATTTCCAAAAGGAACCCGACAAAGGTATAATTCTTAACCCTTTCGCGACTTTTCCACGACGGGTTTAATTTTGTTTGAAGTTTTGAAACGATATTCAAATATTTATACTACTTTCAATTAGTTTTCGCGCTTTGGCAAAACGACATGTAAATTGGTTTATTTACATTTTGCATCGAAGTACGACGCAATTGAAAATATCAAAAATGTGCACGTTGCTTTGACGGTGTTTATTGAAAAAAGAATTGATGCTACATTTCCAGAGAAAGATGTGCAATAACTCCAATCGTCATATAGAATATAAAATTCACTGGAAAAATTTTATTTGTAATTTTATTATTGAACAGCATAGTCACTATTCCATAGTTGGTTATTCTATTTATCTTCGATACGCACTCTTCAACAGCGCATTCACGTATAATTAAAAAAATAATATATATATATATATATATATTCATTTAGCTAAATCCGTATACTTTTGTTTATTATTTATCACTGCACAATCAATCAACAATACTATTATACTATACTTGCCCCTAGTAGCGAAAGGATTAATAATAATAATAATAATAACAAGAACCAAATAAAAATACCTCTCCCTCAAAATTTAAAATCGATCGCTTCCTTTTTCAAAAAAAAAAAATCATGGCCCCCGCGAGAACTAATTCTAGGCAGGATTACGGGAGGCTGGCTTTATACGGATCGACACGAGGACTGCGTCCGAAAATGGCGGGCCCAAGGTCCCGCACTTCCGCGTGTCCCTTCTTTTTCTTTTTTTTTTTCTCCTCCCATTCCCTGCCGAAGAGTTTCGCGCGCCCGTCATCGAATCCGTCCTCTTCTCGCTGCAGGACCTTCGATCGCCATATACGAGAGATCGGCAGGCGCCAACACGGCCGAGCACGCCTCGCGTGGCTCGATGACGATTAAGCTCGATTTAATCGAGTTTGTTCCCTCGAGGTGACGCAGAAATAGACCGGCGAACTTTCGATCGTTTTGTTCCGCGTGCGGCGCGCACGGAATCCGCGCTTCTTTCGGCCATCGCATACCGAATCGATGATGATAACGAGGTCGGCACGAGATTTTCTTACAGGAATCGCTCGTCGATAGTTCGGGGGCCAAATACGGAGATGACGTTATTATTGGGTGAACGATCTCGTTTTTGATCGAGCAGACTCGATCCATGGTTTCTTCTTTTCTTTTTGTGAATGAAAATAATAGGTTAGACGCGTGTAATTTTAATATATGTCTATTCTTGAGTACGCATCTCGTTTATCCTCTTAAACGATCTGTTTAATAATAATCCTCTTGTATCTTGTTTAATTTTTACAGATAAAAAGGAGTTTGCACTCGTGTCAACGAATTTCAAAAATCTTAAGAAACCTAACCTAAAAGGCTTTCTTCTTCGAATCGGCGAGAAAAAAAAAGGAAAGAAGAAAAATGTCATCTTGAAACCGCATTCGAGATACCGATCTCCAGGACGAAACTGGAGGAAACGAGTCGAGTTCGAAGCAATTATTGGATCGATGTAGTGTATACACACTTTCCACGGGTTGGCAGGCATGACCGAGTGATTTGTCGAAGCGAGACTGGTTGCACGCGATGGATTTGCGTGCAAGAAAAGTGGTCTGCGCCACGAATGAAAACGGAAATGTCGTCCCGCCGCCGATATACCCGCTCGCATTTATTATGGTTCGAGCGCACACAGGTTATATAGGTTATATCGCGCGACGAAATCGAGGCGTGTCTACACGGCGCGTCGGCATGCATCATCGGCGTCAATCACGAGCCAACACGACAGTCCCGATCGAGTGCATGCGAATAATAAAGGATATCGTCAGACGTTTAATTAAACAAACACGGACCAATACGTGTCGCGCGAATCAATTTTTCTCTTTTTACAACCGTCACAACTTGTTCCGATTAGATCGACTAGAGAGAAAGAAAGTTCTTTTCTAAAAACGCTCGAATATTATTCCTATCACTTTGCGTAGAATTTCTAAAAGTCGATACAATTTGTCAAATTGTAGAACTACGATTTTTTAAACGAACGATTCGATTAAAAAAAGAGGGGAAAATGAATAAGTTCGAGTCGTATCTAAGTCGTATCGCGTTAGGTAAGACTGGATCGGATCGTTATCTTAGAGTCTAGCTTGTATCAAAAAATTCGAAACAAATAAAATTGCCCTAATGATAGGCCTTACCTAGGTAGTAGTTAACACCTTTCGTCCAAACGTTCGAGCATACGCTTGTATCTTTACACGCGGACACGCGATATCCTTTCGATACAACTTATTCGATATTTCTAATCCTTTATCCATAACCACGTTCACTGCTGATCTCCTCTCTCTCTCTCTCTCTCTCTCTCTATAAG